GAATAATACAGCAAAGTTTCATCACTGCTAACAAGAAAAGCCGAGCAGAGAACAGATCAGTACGGTGTAAAAAGTTTGAAAAGTTCGAGGCTGTAGCACCGTGATGATGATGATGATGATAATAATGATAAAAAAGAGGATGGTGACAGTAAGTTGATTTAATGAGGATGTGGAACTTGGGGAGTCAGAGATTATTGTATATTTTTCTTTGATTAAAAAATATGGAATTAACAAGAGAGCTTTAAGAATGGCGAATAATTCAGCGAAAAAGATGGTGATAGTCATTGATTTTTAGCTAATAAACTTATAATAGTATCACACTAAAATTCACGACAAATACTAAAAATTTGCATTGCAGAATAAAGAAAATATATCATACATAGTACATTGTTTACCGGGTAGGAAAAGCTTAACATTCCTGGACGACTGTGAAGATTGCTAAGTCGAGGCGCAAGCCGAGACTTAGCAACACAGAGTCCAGGAATGTGGCTTTTCCTACGAGGTAAACATACTATTTTTCCGCAAATCGTTTAAAATTCGACAGATATTGATTGATTTAAAAAAAAACGCAATAATTTTATTCCCAAATAAATGGTGCTTTGAAATTCCTAATAAAATTACTTGGGTTACTATGGAAACGTATTGAGGTTGAATTGTCAAACTTGACGCTTATAAATTTAATTGCTGGTGTTCTCGAAAGTAAAATGATAAGTGATGATGAAATTTCCATTCCTGGGACTCCTCCAGAGCTGGTTGAGGCAGTGAATACTGCTTCATTAGAATTATTGCCAAAGAAATCAAGAGAAAAGTACGAAAATGCATACAGACGTTTTATGGATTATCGCATGAGTAAAAATACGAGTTCTTTCTCAGAAAATGTTGTAATGGCATACTTCCTAGACCTTTGTTTAAAGATGAAATCTTCAACATTATGGGCCAATTATTCAATGCTGAAGTCAACCCTTGCACTTAAACACAATGTAGATATATCTACGTACTCAAAACTTCGTTCTTTATTGAAACGGCAAGCTCAAGGTTATAGGGCAAAGAAATCTAAGATTTTAACGAAGGAAGAAATTGAAAAATTTATCCAGGAAGCTCCAGATAAAGAAAATTTAATGATTAAGGTAATTTACAAGGTTTTAATTTCTATTTAGATTATAGCTTTATTTATTTTTTAGGTGGCTGTAATATTTGGTATTTCTGGGGCCTGTAGAATGGATGAGTTAGTCCGAATGACTGTACACGATATAGAAGACTTAGAATCTAAGCTTTTAATCAGCATACCTGATTCGAAAACCAACAAACCAAGATCATTTGTAATTAATCAGATCTACTTGAATGTTCATGGAAAGTATGTTTCGTTAAGACCAGAAAATATGAACAGTGACCGATTTTTCTTTAAATATCAAAGCGGAAACGGTTGTAGACAAGTGGTAGGAATTCATCAATTTAGAAAAATGCCCAAAATAATTGCTACTTATTTGAACTTGGTAAATTCGACAGAATATACTGGTCAATGCTTTCGTCGGTCTTCTGCAACAATATTGGTTGACTCTGGTGCCGACATAACTAGTTTAAAGAGGCATGGCGGATGGAAGTCATCAAACGTTGCTGAAGGATATATCGAAGAATCGCTTAACAATAAGGTTGAGGTGGCAAATAAAATTTTTACGGTACAAAATATTCAACAAAATGACACTTCCACCCTGCATGTTGTCCAAAATGTTTCTCATAGTTCTAAGAGTGTTCCTCCAATGTTCAATAATTGTACTAACTGTCAAATTACTGTAAATATAACAAATTGATCTTAAAAATGTATTCAGCAATGACTTGATGTTTTTAAAATATAAATTAATTCCTTATAAGCAATGTGTTTTCTATCATTTATGTAGAACACTAACAACTGTACGGAAATATCATTTCCTTACAGTAAGGAAGTCCTGACTTTTTCTTCAAGAAATTTTGACAGGAATGTCAAAATTTCCTGGCGATTTGCGGAAAATTATATTTTTTCGTAGTGTCCTGATATAAATTATGTCTTTCCAGTATTACTTAAGAGCATTTTTTCTGCTATTATCATGTTAACCACTGGTCCAATTTTATTATTAAAGTAGAAACAGGAATATCAGAAGTTATTTACCAACTATCCATTTAAAGCTTTCTAAGGAATATGTACATACTTTGTAAAACTTTGGTGTAGCTCTTTTAAATATTCATAAAAGGAAGTTTTAGCGTAAAAATTTAAGTACCAAGTATTTTATACAACGAACGAAGTTTTTAAAGAATTGACAACTTAATGGTAAGTTTTGAAACGAGTTGCATTACCTCAAGCAAGTCAGCAAATAGTTTTAAAAGTTGCTGTAGACACATTAACTGTTAATTTTACTTTACCTGGAAGTTTGAAGTTTGTTGGTTTTTAATATTTGTGGCTAGCTAAGAAAAAATATGTCGACGATGGTAATGTATAAAAAATGTTAAAGAAAATATTAGCATATACATATAGATATACATATACATATACATATACATATACAGCATATACATATACAGGCAAAATATCAACTAAAATAGCCAAACACATAAAAAAGAAAGGAATAACGCCAGCTTTCCGAACAAATAACAACCTACGCAAATATATCAAAAACAACAAGAGCCAAAATAAAAAACACGTACACAGTGGTGTGTACAAACTGAAATGTGGCGACTGCCCAAAAACTTATATCGGTCAAACTGGTAGAAACTTTAATAAACGAATAGCAGAACATGATTCTACATAAGCACTTCACCTTCTAGATCACAATCATTATTTTAATGACGAATTTAAAATTCTTCATATTCAAAATAAAAGCCTTAAGCTATCCTTGTTAGAATCTATGGAAATCAACAAATTAAAAAACACAGATATAATTCTGAATGACCAACTTGAAACAAACAGTTCTCTCCTCCTCAACCTATTTCATTAGAGACTATAAAATGTAAACGCATACTTAAAATAGATCACTTGAGAAAGGCAATCAGCCGAAACAGCTGTAGTGATAAGTTAAAATAAATTTTGTGGAAGTTTGAAAACAAAGTTTTCAGTGTTTTATTGTTTGAGAATTGAAAAAATTCCCATAAAATCGATCTAATAGTTGGATTTGGACTACCTAAATAGAGAATAGGAGCCACGTTCTGCGGCAGTATGATTTTTTCTTGGGAAATGGCTTGAAATAAAAATTGAAAAATTGAAACATCCAGTAGTTAAGGTCATCATAACTGCCATTACATTCATATATATCAATTTCTGAAAATTTTTTTTATATAGGTAAGCTTTTACTGTAGCATGTCCAAAAAGGCATCTAACGTACATAGTACAAATTTTCCGACAGATGGGACTTCTGTCACTTGGAGGAGTAGATGGAAGAGTTGGATATATACTGCAGTGTGTATTTTTGCTACTGTTATTAAAGGATTGCCACTCAATTTCTCAATTAAGTCTAACATGTTTCTTCCTAGCTGAAACTAATTCCCATTTGGGCAACTCGATGTATTCTATACCAACTAAAGTAGCGTCTTTAGCCAAATGGTCTACTTTTTTATTGCCTGGAATATTAGAGTGACCTTTAACCCACACAAAGTTAACAATTCTTTTTAGAGAATTTAAGATACTCAGCTTTTCAAGCCCATCCACAAATTATATAACGTTCGAAATATAATGTGCTATTAATTATCCAATCCAATGCCTTGACAATGGCTATCAATTCAGCTGTGAATATTAAGCAATCTGATTTTAATTTGTACTGAAAATAATCTTAAATATTGTCTATGTAAATGGCAAATCCAACACCAGCAGCCGATTTTGAGCCATCGGTATAAATTTTACAAGAATAAGTACAGTCTTGCAGCTTGTTCTGTACTACTAAATCCTCGTGAACAATTAAAATAGATGAGGGAATTACTACAGCAGGTTTATATTTATATAGTATGTCAAAGTTGGAACCAAAAAATGGAATCCCTTCTCCATTGAATGAATATTGTGATAAATTGGGAAAAGCAACAGCTAGAGTTGGAGAGTTTTTATTTGCATTTATTTGTTTGTTAAATTTTCAACAGAGAGACAAGATATTTTTTGTAATAAGCTGTTTTGATTATTAAACTGGTATTTAATGATACATTTTTCTGCCAAAAATAGACGTCTTAAATGTAAAGGTGGCTCGTTATATTCTGCCAAAAGGGCTGGTGTGGAAGTAGATTTGAGAGCTCCTAGGACTAACCTTAAAGCTTTGTATTGTATTCGATCCAATTTAATCAAACGAGATTTTGTTGCTGATCCATAGAAAAAGCTTCCATAGTCCAAAATTGATCTGGTATGTGCTATGAAAAATAATAAGTTTATTTTCGAGTCTGCTCCCTAATCGTATCGATGAACCGTCTTAAGGATATTAAGGTTTTTTTCACATTTGGTAATGCAATTATTAATTTGCTCGTTCCAAGTTAATTTTGAATCCAAGGTAACACCTAGGTATGTAAAACTGTTAGGAATTTTCAGCTGGGAGAATTTTAACGTACTAACTTTTGGTAACATGTGTCTCGAAAAAAATACTACACCTGACTTCTTAGGTCAAGCCCATGATTATTAAAATACTTTTTGAAATTAATACATTGTTGAAAGGTTTTTTTCTCAACATAGAAACAGAAGTCATCAGCATATTGTAAAATGTTACACTGCATTCCCATAGTATATAAGTTTATTGAACACAAGTTAAATAATAAGGGACTAAGAACTGAGCCCTGAGGTAACCATTTGTTACCTATCCTTGGGAAAATCAGTAAATTATTTGGTTTTGGGTGTAGTTTGTTATGTGAAAATTTAAATCCAGCGTTTATTAAGCATATTTCAAATGCGTTACATTTGTTGCCAAAACTCAAAAGTAAATGTTTAATTCTGTATTATTTTAAAATAATACAGAATTATATTGTACATGTTATTTATAATCAATAGTGAGAAAATGACTTACCATATGCCAGGCTCCAATGTAATGTGTATATTTTCAGGTATATCAAATCTATGACCTGAAAAACAAATAAGTTATATTAGATCTATTTTATTTCGTTATAAAAAACACAATATTTTAAGCATTACTTTCATTTTTCGGACATTATAACAAGAACCAGGGCGAGAACTGCAGAAATCGTAACCGAGCTATAGCAGCAGCAGAACGAATGGGTTTACATATAAATCAAAATAAAACCAAATTCATGGCGACTAACACAAACACAAGAGCTAGAAATGTTAACGCAAATTTAATCATCAATGACCAAAACTTCGAAGCAGTCGTGTTCATATATCTAGGGACATCTGTTAACCCCAATAATAACACATCTGAGGAAATATAAAGGCGAATAATAATTGCAAACAGGTCTTATCATGGTCTATCAAAGTACTTATCTAACAAACGTCTGTCTCAAAAAACTCGTATAAGGCTGTATAGAACACTGATAGTCCCCGTTCTCACATATGGATCAGAGGCATGGACGCTAACTAAAACAGGTGAATTTGCTCTACCGATTTTTGAACGAAAGGTGCTACGCAAGATATTTGGAGCGGTCTGTGAGAACGGAATGTGGAGGCGTAGATATAACTTTGAACTGCAGAATATCTACAAGCATACGTTTGGTAGTAAGAATTACCACTATAATTAAGCGAAACCGCCCGCACTGGGCAGGACATGTAGTCCGGGCCCCTCAATATAACATGATAAAAAAGATTCTAATAGCGCAACCCGTGGGAATGAGAAGACGGGGTAGACCAAAGCTGAGGTGGTTGGATGGGGTAACACGAGATGCGGAGAAGATCTGAGTCGGCAACTGGAAAATGCAAGCAAGGGACAGAACAGAACGGCGTAAAAAGCTTGAGAAGGTCGAGGCCCTCTAAGGGCTGTAGCACCAAGATGATGATGATGATGATGATGATGACTTTCATTTTTCATTAGTTGTTTTGTTATTGATTATTCGACAACTTATCCATTCCGTACTTTTCTACCCGTCACCTGGGATCTATCGCATAGTTCAAGTCGTATATAGCTAAGTATGGTGAAAAAAGGTCGAAAAATTTTTCACAAATATCTGAAGCATTTAAGACAAAGGTGTGGATTACTAGATGACTAATCATAAAGAATTCTATGAAATTTGCGAAATGTGTCTAGCATCATTAATAAAGCAAGTTCAATAGTTTAAATATTTAGCATCAGGGATAAATAAATTAAATAACTTCTATTTGACCGATCCGTGGGTCATACATAAATCAACAATATTGTTCTGAAGCTATTTTCTTGTTACATCCAGTACAATTTTTTATCTTTATTGAGAATCAGTCACAATTTTACTTTCAAATATAATGGACTAATAAAATAATGTTATTCGACCAATAACTATTCACCAATTACCTTAATACAAGGTAATACAATAAATAGATAGATAGGTTTATTGACAATTTTTACATAGTAAACACTACATGTCATGTCACAATAAAAATAATTTACTTTTGTATACTAAGAACTAAGAAATAATACAAGAACATATAATAAAACATATACAGTGAAAATTAGATATATAAAATTATAACAAATAAGAAAGAAACATTTCAGTAAGGCGTAATATAGTTTTCATTAAAAACGACCACACTAGGAGCTCAAACAAACAAATTCCTGTATACTATAGAAACAGTGTTCCAGCAGGAAGTGCTGAAATTCATTGCCTTAATATCAATATTTTTGTTTAAGTTTAAAAAACAATTATACAGATTAAAATCTATTGTATTAAGTTGTGTAACACACAATCTGGAATATGGTATAATGATATGACTTTTATTTCTTGTATTGTAATGATGTTGATCAGCATGTGATTTTACATCTTTTATATTATTATGAATAGTTAACAAAGTTTCAAATATATATATTGAAGGTAAAGGAATAATGCCATACTTCTTAAATAAGGGTTTACAGCTGGCGCGATATTCTGCCGAGTCAATAATTCGGATTGCTGCTTTTTGAAAAGTGAAAACTTTATATGCATAGGACGAGTTTCCCCAAAGAAGTATGCAATGTGTCAGGATACTATGAACCATTCCAAAATAAACTGACCTAAGAATATCTCGACTCACAGAAGTAGCCAATCTGCACATAGCAAAAATCTGTGAAGCGAGCCCCCTACACAATCGTTCAATATGGTGCGACCAGTTCAACCTTGTATCCATAGTAACACCTAGTAACTTTACTGGTTAAGATGGTGTAACCCATCTATCAGAACTAAATACGATTTTCTGGGTTTTCTGCTCGTTTAACTTAAGTTTGTTACAGTTAAACCAGGATTTAGATTTTTCTAATATATCCTGACTGTAATCAGTTTTACCTCTACATAATAAGGTTGTGTCAACTGCAAAAAGAACACAGTTGGTGTTATCCAATGCACTTGGTAAATCATTTATATATATCGAGAATAGTAGAGGACCCAAAACTGATCCTTGTGGTACTCCGGTTGAAACTGGTAAAGGATCAGATTCTTGATTATTAAATGCAACATTCTGTGTTCTTCCTGTAAGATAGGATTTTAAAAGGTCATGTATGGTGCCCCTTATTCCATAGTACTCCAATTTTATCAATAGTGTTTGAATATCTACACAATCAAAAGCTTTTGTAAGGTCACACATTAAGCCATTAGTAGGTTCACCTGCATCAAAACCGTGAACAATATGTTCTATTACTTCTAATAAAGCTTTAGTTGTTGAGTATGTTTTTCTAAAACCAAATTGAGAGCTAGATATAACTGATTTGTTATCCAAATAATTTGATATACGATCTTTAATTAAGATTTCAAAAATTTTACTTATTGTTGGTACTATGGTAATAGGTCTGTAATTGTCAGGAGCATTTTTATTTCCTTTTTTATGAAGTGGAATTACTTTTGATATTTTGAATACATCAGGCCAGTAACCCTCGTTAATGCATTTGTTAAATATTATTGTGAGTGGTTCAACAATTGTATCAAGCGATTCCTTAATAATTTTACTGTTAAAACCATAGTAGTCAACACATGAGGAATTTTTTAATTTGTATATGCATTCTTTCACATCAGATGCTACTATTGGAGACATAAAGAACGAACTTGACCTTCTAGGTAGCCTGCTAAGATAGTAGTTTATGTCATGCTCAGAGTCTCCTATTGATTTCGATATAATATCTGCTATATTCGTAAAGTATTGGTTAATTTCTTCTGGTGTTAAGTTCAGATTAGACGTAGTATGTTCCTTATAGGTTTCTTTTTTAACAATACTCCATATTGTCTTACTTTTGTTGGTGGATTTGTTAATTATGTTAGCATAAGCAGTACGTTTTTCAGCTTTTTTTGCTTGCTTGTATTTTTTTCGTATTTGACAATATTTAATCCAATTGTCAATAGTATGTGTTTTTCTATATGTTGCTTTACAATCGTAGAGTTGTTTTCTTAAATCTCGAAGTTTCTGATTAAACCAATGAATACCACTTTTTCTGCTATTCATGTTTTTTAAAGGAAAACAAATGTTGTATTCTTCACACATATATTTCATAAACAACTCTGTCATGTTGTTTGAATTACATTGGATATCGTCAAACACAGTCCAATCTTTGGAGTTAATTTTTTCCACAAAATTCTTAATATTTTTTTCATTAATTAATCTTTTTTTAGTCTTTTCTATAATTGTAGACACATTTTTTAAACCACTCACAATAGCAAATATACCCAAATGATCAGATATTACAGGATCGTAGACACCTGTATTTAAATTTTGTTCATTAATATTAGTAAATATATTATCAAGGCAAGAGCTTGAAGTAAGTGACACTCTTGTGGGCGCTTTTATGAAATGTTTTAAACCGTACATGGTTAAGAAATTTCGTATTTCACAAACATGCCCTGTGTTTACTTCCATATTTATGTTAATGTCACCAAGTATCATTATATTTTCATATTTTTTAAAGGCGAAATCAATTAAAGAGTATAACTTAGCTTGGAAAACAGTAATATCCCCATTACAGGATCGATAAAGTGCAATTATCAGAAAACGATTATTTTTAATTTCAACACCACAGAATTCAGCATTCAATGGATCACAAAATTTGTTTAAATCAACAGGCTCAAGTTGAATATGTTTAGTACCATAGATAGCTACACCTCCATGTAGTCTGCTTTCTCTACAATATGAAGTGACAATATATTTAACAAAGAGGCAGATATAACTGAAAACTATTTGAATGATCGGAGTACCCGAAACCAGGGATTCCAATGCGGAATGCGGAAAATGAAATTGGACCGCTATTTGCCCAAACATCGGATCAACGATGGTTTACCCTTTACAATAATGCGGTCCACACGTATTTCATTTAAATATTAATTTATTTGAGTAAGTTTTTATCTTGCAATACATATCGCTCAAAACAATAAGAATAACGTCTGTTCGTGTTTGTTTACATCCACATTATCGCAGCAGCTGTAACATCTAAAATAATGGACTATTAAGTTACTATCATAAAATGTTTATTACGGCAAAACAATAGAGGAAAGCAACAACGGTTTTAACGAAGAAATATACATTTATGTAGGTGTGAGTTATTCACCGGTGAACGGCGAACTAACTTAAATATTTAAAACAAAATTGTTTTCGGAGCGGAAAATCGGTTTTGCTGGAAAAGCCTACTGGGTTTAGATAAAATACTCTGCTGACAAAAATAAACCGCTTTCATATTTTATACCCTCAACAAAAATATTTACATTAAACTTTAAAATATATTTAGAAAGAAATACAGTTAAAGGTAGATTGGGACATCATCTTCTTCTTCTAGTTCCATGACCGTTATCGATCGTTGGATATCATGTTGGCTACCATATTCGCTATCGTGACTTTATTAACAGCAGCTCTAAATAACGATGTAGTTGATTTTCCATACCATTGCCTTAGATTTTTCAGCCATGATGTTCTTCTTCTACCAGGACCACGATTACCTTGGATCTTTCCCTGAATGATCAGATGTAAAAGA